AAGGAGGTGTCCAGAATCACATCCTGGTCCCACTTATCAAGGCCTCCAGCCCCTCACAGAGTATGAATAAGCATGTTCAGGGAGGCTCACTGGGCAGGTGGCCCAGATCCCTTTCAAGGGGATACACCATAAAGATGGTATTGTCCCAGGGAGGGAGGGCAGGGTGACCTGGTCTGACCAGCTCAAAGCCCATGTAGCTGAAGGCCCGAAGCAGGGCACCTGTGAAAAGAGAGAACAAATTAGAAAACTCAAACTCAATACCACTGTTCCCCCAGATTTCCGTTGTTTTCCACTAAGGAATGGATGTGGGGAGGGTGTGTAGTGCAGGTATTAGGATGATGTGCTTTTGACTCACAGACTTAAGCTCCAACCCTGGCTGTAACATTTACTTTGTGACATTTTACGAATTAACCCTTCTGAACTTTTTTTCTCATTTGTAAAATGAGGACTATAGAACTTTCTTCACAGAATTTAAGATTAAATAAGATGGCCCTGGTCTGTGTGGCTCAGTTGGTTGGAGTGTTGTCCTATGTACTGAAAGGTCATGGGTTCAGTTTCCATTCAGGGCAATACCCTGGTTGCAGGCCTGATCCCCAGTTGGTGTATGTGTGGGGGCAACCAGTTATGTTTCTCCTCTCTCCCTCTCCCTTCTCTCTCTCTAAACTCAATAAAATAAAGAGTAAATTCCCATTGGGGAAAACAAAAGATTAAACAAGATGTTTATGAAGTGCCTAACACAATGATGGTATTATAAACTCTTGACCATCCTTTGTCTTAAAGGACTTCAACAGAGTATGAAGTCCTTGAGGGAAGAGATTGTGGTTTCTATAACATGTGCTCCAAGCATCTAGTTATATTCCTATTCTGGCCTTATCCCCAACCCTTTCATACTGTAGGTGCTTAATACATTTAATATCCTTTCTGTCCTACCAGCCACATCCCTTGAATGGATTCTAATTTCACCGGTGGTCCTTTAGTCTGGCTTCTGAGCTCTACCTGCAGGGACTTCTTAATAGACCTATAACTTGAACAGAATACTAAATGCCTTCATTTCCTTAGCGGTGGGGGCGGGGGAGACTGAAATGCTGGAGCATTCCCTTTTTCAAGAGTTGGGGAAAGAGGGTCTCTTAAAAAGGAAAAGTCACTGTTAGCTGCTTCAGCACCAAGGGCCAAGGACAGCAGATTCCCACCTCTGTCATTCCGGTCGTTTTGGAAGTTTACAAACACGGAATCCACATTGGTCTTCTCTTCCACATACTCCAGTGTTGCAGTCAAACTAGGAGCCAGGGAGAAACATGGTTAATGGAAATGTTTAGCAAACTCAGAACCCAAAAGAAATCTCATTGGTCAGTTTTTGCTAACCCAAGCAAGAAATGAAAGTTGCTAAACTAGTTTTGATAGCTTTTTCTCCTAAGCCAAGGGATTGTACACAATGAAACTGAATCCATGCCATGGATGGAGTCTGGGGAGAAGCAACTATAGTCAACAGCTGGAAAGCACATCCTATTCAACTGGTTATGGATTCTCCCTTCTGTGTTTCTCACTCTGAATCCAGCAACCTCTCATGGGTTGTTATCCCTTGAACTCCAGATCCAGGCTGGTCACAGGCCAGTCTGCATGCCATTTCATTGGTTTGAAGGTATTCAGCTCCGGAATCAGCCCTCACTGGCTAGTATACCCAGTACCTGATGATGACATGATAAAATAGTGAAACCCCAACCCCCATTCCCTCCCCACTCTATCATCCAGGCTCAGTCACCTTTTCTGGTTGCCTTGATCCAAGGCCCGATATGGGATATCCAGGAAAAGCTGACGGTCACAGAGAAGGCCGTGCCAATGGACAGAGGTCTGGGGGGTGAGGCGGAAATGGAAATCTAACTGCACTGGGTCCTGGTGGAGCAGGGCATCAGTAGCCAGCACGGTCAGATTCCCAGCCTGGAAAAGGAATACAAATGAGATTAATAGTGCCCTGCTTTTGTGTGCTTCTAGTCCTCACATAACAGGTCTCGGGCCGACTTGGGTGTCTGAGGAAGCAAGGAAGGGGCTGATGGAGAGCCTGGGAGAGTTGGAGCCAACGTCTTATTCGACAATATAGATCTCTTAGACCTAGGACCTAACTCCATCCCTGTCATGGAGTTCTCCTGGATATCAAACGTCTGAAATCCAGATTCAATGCAGGATTACTGCCTGCTAACCTCACCTCAGGATGTACTATCCCTTTAGAAACTGCCATTGACATCAGAGAGCTTACTTTTTTTAATATTTTTAATTGATTTCAGAGAGGAAGGGAGAGAGAGAAACATCAATAATGAGAGAGAATCACTGATCGGCTGCCTCCTGCACATCCCCTACTGGGAATCGAGCCCACAACCCAAACATGTGCCCTGGCTGGAATAGAACCGTGACCATCCTGGTTCATAGGTCAATGCTCAACCACTGAGACACACCAGCAACAAAGCTGTCTCATTTGTTTACTGTCTCGCTGATAATACTCTTCCACTTTCCCCCATCATATGGGTTTTCTGTAATGTCTCCCATTTCTCATCTAAAATGCAAACGTCACACACAAGCATGTTATTGCAAAATGATATAAGGGCAAGTGCAGGAGTTCTGGGTTCTAGTCCAAGTAAGCATCTGAACAGCCTTATGTCCTGCAAGTCTCAATACATTCTGCTCTTGGTTCCCGCCTACTCTTCCCATCCTGCTTTTCACTACCACCTGAAGATCTCTAGGCAGAGTCATTGTCTATAAAGCAAGTAGTTTTTACACATGAGCTTTGAGGCCTCATCTTGCTCTTTCTAATGTTCCTTCTCTGCAAGGTATCATTACAGTAGGCACGGGGCTGCCTGACACCAACTCACAGCACCAGCTCACACTCTGCTTACCGAGTACAGTTCTTTAAGCTGATCATGGTCACTCTGCTTGGTGCTTCTGCCCATCTGGAGGCCTACTGGGGAATCAGGAGCACTGAAGGCAGGAACGGGGCCGGAGTGTCAAGTCCTCCTGTTCCTTATAAGTGATGCTGTTTGGGAAAAAGAGACCCAAATTAGTTTACCTCTTAGTCTGATGTGGGGAGAGGGTCCTAACTTCCAGGAACGCAGGACCAGGCTCTGGCACTGTCTTCTGTATCTTCCCTAGACGAGCCTATTTCCATTTTCCCAGGTCTGCCCAGTTGGAAAAATTCTCAAGTTCCATGGCAGCCTCCCACCCTGTTTTGCTATTATCATCTCTTGCCACTTGGAAAGTTCTTCCAAATTCTTTTATTTTTCCTTACCATTTACATAAACTATTAAAGTAGAGATGAAAACAAGTACCTTCTAGCCCAAGGCAGCATCTTCTCCCGGAGGGTGATCCGGTATTTGTAACAGTAGAAGTAATAGGCGTAAGGTGACCAGATTGGGTAGTAGTAGTTCCGTGTTTTTCCCCTCTTGATATAAGAAAGGGAGTAGAGAGAGGGGCGCCACCTGTTACAAGGCAGTTTCTCGGTTCAGTGCCTCCCTGTGGCAAAGTGAGGTTCAGAGATGGGTGACAAAGATTTAGGCAGTCTGGCACCATTGTGACCTGATGGGCACTATGACATGCACAAGGAGTCAGCCCTTATGTCACTTAGGACTCTTCCTGCTGCTCCCCTACCCCGCCCTTTCCCTTTAGCCAAGTGTGCACTTCACAACTGGACCAGTGGTAAACAGCCCTGCCTCGGCTTGTGTTGTGCCCCCTCCCAACACACATACCACTTCCCCTAAAATTCAGCAACTAAAGTGTTAGTGTCTGACACTGCAAGAAGGTCCCAAGATCCTTATCCAGGGTCTGACCTGATTGGTTGGTTTCTATCAATTCAATATTTTCATTATTATCCCTACCTTTAACAACCCAGGGGTGCTACACATTTTTGAACTTTCTAATTGCCTTGTAGGAATTGCAAACTAACTGTCTCTAGGGCTCTGGACAGCTACAGGGAATTAGTGGAGCTTCTGGGTGAGGCTGTAGCAAAATGGAAAGCTCACACCCTGTCTCTCAGAAGCCAACACAACTCCACTCCATCCCTCCAGTTGTCATGCAGAAATGTAGACTCCGTGGTACCAGATTGTATGATTTTTCAACAGAAACTAGACAGATTTTTGTGGTAAATTTAATTTTTAAAAAAATACTAACTCAAAACTTGTTTTAAAGCAACATTGTGAGTAAAATTGAGTTCTGGGGCCATCAGTTTGAGACCTCACTCATCTGTTCAACAAATATTTGAGGGCCTTCTATGAGCCAGACACTATTTTAGGTGCCTGGGATATATCAGTAAATAAAGATCCCTGACCCATGGAACATAACTTCTAACACTGAGAGAACAAACAGTAATCATAATAAAGTCCTTTAATATGTTAGAAGATAATATGCAATGGAGAAAAAATGGAGCAGGATAAAGGAGGGTCAGGAATGTGAAGGGGCTGGGACAGGCTGCAGTAATAAATAGGGTGACGCAAGTGGGCCTCATCGGAAAGGTGACATTTAATCAAAGATGTGAAGGAGGTGAGGGAGTTAGCCAAGCCAACATTGGAGGTAAGAGCATTCCATGCCTACACAATAACAGTGCAAACAACCCTGTGCCTTAGTGTTTTCAAGAAATAGCAAGGAGCCTACTGTGAGTAGAGCAGTGTAAGCTGAAGGGAGAACAGAGGGAGATGAGGTCAGAGAGCTATCAGACCATCGCCTGGACTTTTTCACTCTGAGTGAAGGGGAAAGTAATTTCAGAGTTTTGGCCAGAAGAGTGACACGACCTGTCTTACATTCTCAAAAGATTGTGACTGATGTAACTGCAGAGCATTGAAGGGAGCTTTGTCAGGAGACCAGTGCAGTAATTGAGAAGGATCGTGTCTAATTCCAGGGTGAAGCATTGGAGGTGGTGGGAAGTGGTCGGATTTTGTAACTAGAACTCACAGGGTTTCCTGGGGTATGAGAGGAAGAAGCTGGGTCCCAGAACTGAAAGAATGGAGTTTCCATCAACTGAGATGGGAAGGCTCCAGGTGAGGGAGTTTGGGCAGGAGGCTAGAGATGGGTTTAGTTTGGAGCTTGTTAACTTCACATGGTCCCTTAGACACGTAAGGGGGAGATGATAAATAAGCAGTTGGATATTCAAGGCTGGAGCTTCGAAGTCTAGGATGGAGATAGGAATTTGGAAGTCCCTGCATATTAACAGTACTGTAAGCCCTGAGACTGCATGAGATGTCAGGAGTGTGTGTATTGAGAAGAGTGTCCACCCTAAGAAGGGAGAGAGGAGAAGTCGGCAAAGGAGACGGAAGAACCTGGTGACGCAGGAAGGGAAGAAGCATAGAGCAGACCCCACTCATTCCATTTATCTGCGCTTCTCTCCAGCACTGTGACCCTCCGAAGAGAGAGCCGTCTGGGCCTGGTCATGTTTAGTTTTTCTCGGGCTTATCTCCCTAGTGATTGAGAATTCTTTAAATATTAGCTTAAATGCTGCCGTTGTAAAGATTAAGAGTTAGACAGCTCCTGGGCTGGTATAGTTTTCCAGACAATCCATCCTTTCACCACCTTCAGGTAGCTGTCAAGGAAGGAGAAGGGACCCCTCCGTGTCGTTTCCTAGACTGTCAGGTTGGCATGACTTGAGAGGCCACACCGACACCAGGGGGAGAGGGTCTCCCTATGGCGGCACAGTGGGCGTCCCTTCCCCGAAAAGGAACGGGGAGAAGGGCATGAGGGAGACGCTCAGTCGGGGATCGTCGGCTCAGTTCTCTGGTCTC